TTGCGCGGGGGGGTCGCACACCACCCAAAAAACGCCGCCGGTTGAAAAAAGCCCAAAAAAAAACCCCAGGCGGCGGGGGGGGGGGATTGAGCAAAAAACGGGCCATTTTTGCTCATTTCTGCCCTCCCCAGCTCCCAGAAGCTCTTGAAAGCCTCCTAAAAGCTATGCATGGCCATTTTGGTGAAGGGAGCGGGGTTTCGGGAGGCCAAAAATGCTGTATTCAGTGTATAAGACACATCCAGATTTTCAGCCTCTTTTTTTAGGGAAAAAGGTGCGTCTTACATAACCCCCAAACTATTCTCAAATGCAACAAATAAAAGGAAAGCACATTTAAAATGGAGGCATCTAAAGAAGACCCTGTTAGGCATGTATCCTAACCTACTTGTGCTCTCATTTTAGATCATTATATTTACTTGGGTTCTGAGATGGCCGCCCTTCGGAGACCCATGATGAAACGTCCATGATGAAATGCTTTCCCGTTCTGCACTCTGTGTTCTGCTGTGCAAGGGTAAGGGATCTCAACCTCTGACTTGTTTTCAAGGTTATGAACGATGTAGCCATTTATGGTATGAGCATCTATGCCTTCCACAGCCTCTGCAAAATAAGTGAATAGAGAAAGGAGGAAGATTTAGGAGGAGCAAGCTATCTTAGGAACACGTATCTGCAGGGTACTTTTAAAATAGACAGCTGTTTAAAGTTACAACCACCAAAACATCTTAGGGAGATTCGAACAGCTTGACACAATGGTCAGATATGGGAGATTCCATCCTATACCCTACAATGGACGTCTCTGCATTTGCAGAGCGGCAGAGGTAGAAGACCTGGCTCACATTCTATGCGATTGTTGCCTATATAAGAGAGTGACAGACAGGTACCTTGGTCAATATACTAAACAAATGACACATTGGGATGCCCATATGTGTTTAGTGTTTAGTGTTTATTAGGACGTTTATGCCGCCCACTCTCGAGAGACTCAGGGCGGCTTACAAATAAAGCAGGAAGGGGGAACATATAAAAATTAAAAAACAGACATTAAAATTCACAACATTCATAGCTCAGAATGGGGCTGGATAAATCCACGGGGAGATCATTCCAGAGGGCCGGAGCCGCTACAGAGAAGGCCCTCCCCCGGGGAGTCGCCAGCCGACAT